TACAACGCACTTTATTTTCCAATTCTCTTAATACAGTATTTTGTATAGGTTGAGAAAGAATCAAACAACAATTTGAACTGTTCCATTTATAAAGAGATGTACTTTAAAATTAATTACATGGAGAACTGCAAACTTGACGTTATTTATTTAAGTATTGATCAGTGAATTCACACATAAAATAAAAATCGACTCACTAATTTTCTTTAATTCTTATAACAAGCGATCGGTCTTCATCATTAAAATAAAGTATTCCAATTTCATCTGCGGTAAAGGTTGATTTCTTTTAAACAGAATGACATCGAAATCGATACATTAATTTTATCATCTCGTCTTTTCTGGAATTTGATTCGTAGATCAGTTTTTTTTGGATGTCTTTCAACTCTCAACAATACAGTTGAAACAGTGAAATAAATAAATATTAATTAATTAAATTAATGAAGATCCACCTGGAATCAAGTTTTCTAATTCATTTTTCTCTTTCTCTTGCCAATCCTGAATTGTATACATGGCTTTAAAGACAGGTGGTTGAAGAATTGCTTGCAGTCCAGACACAATGAGACTCAAGTTATTTGCGTTTAGATCATCCATCGCGGTAGCCACAATAGCCTTCACGCCATGAAATTTACCACCAGTCGGATCAGCCGTCACGAATAATGGTTGACATTGGCCATATCCATTGTTATGAAAATAATACTTAAAGAATAAAAGTAATAATGAATTAAAAAAAATCAATAATATAGAAGTTTAATGACAAAGAATACATACACATTTCCGAGCATTTTCATTCAATTTGATAAACACATGTTTATCCACTCCATATTTGATATCAATAATTCCATCCCATTGTATCCTGAGTTCGTGTTGCAGTCCTTCCACGAACAACGACAACTCTAGGGAATTATAAAAAAAGAAAAGTGCAAGCTTCTTGTTTCCCGCAGCGTTAAATCTATGATTTGTCACTCCGTTTGTTAATTGGCATGTGAATAATTCAGCCTTTATAAAGGCAAAAGTTTCAAGCGCTGGTTCTGTAATAATAGGTTGAAACATATTTCAATTAGTTAGTCGATCTTTGATCCAAATTACGTACGTACTACGTAACGGTAGTTAAATAATTAATCAAGCTCATTTATTAAAGCATCATCACGTAAATATAACTAGTGAAACGGTTTATCATGCTATTAGATCCTATAGTATTGCAACAACAGTCTCATTATCAAGATTCTAGATTAGGAAACGCATTTAATACTTGCATAATTGCATACGTACATTAAACAAAGAAAAGATAATGAATATCCAATATTACAACAATGCACAAAATTTATTCACAAACGAAGCTAATTTTTGTTTAGTAATTACAGATTGTAATTTACTATATGGAACCAAATATATCAGATTTCACGATAACGGACCGAAATTTCTGGTCTTGTGGATCGCTAACTTTTTTCTCTCTTTAATAATCAAAAATAGTGTTTATGAGCTTAGACTGTTTCTAAGTGATCTTTCAGAGATTAATCAGAATTACCTTAGGGAATTATGTTTAAATTTCCGACGAAACGCCGCACGTGAGGTTTGTATTTCATAAATAATAATTTTTCTTGGTAAATATCAATTTAAATGATATTTTTCCTATTGCAGCATTATTTTCATTCGTTAAGTTCACAGCCTAAGCGTTTAGATCGTGATCCGTACAGTG